AGGGAGGAAGAGGCCAAGGGAAATCTGGAAAATGTGGAAAACGGATCTTGAGTTTGGCAAAATTGGAACCAGCTTTGTGCTTTGGCCTGTTTCCCAAATTTAAATCATTACTATTACTTAGTATTTACTTTTGCACTATTACTTAATATTTCTCTTCAAACCAAGTTGATTTCTTTAAACTTAAGCAAACAAGAAAAGGAAAAAATGTAGTAAAAAGAATACGTAAATAAATAAACTTATGCAAACAAATTTTAAAGAGAGATCTGATATCACCCCTACGCTACAAATAAAAAACAGGGATCACTTATTTCTACAAGGAAACTGTACAAATACAATGGAAACAAAACAATATCATTTTCTTGTCCAGGTGATTTTGAGATTACGTTTATTAAAGCTGGGGACAGTGAAACAAGGAAGGGCTTAGGATAGAGGAAGCAACAGGAGAGCGCCTAGGTGGGGCTGCTTTGGCTCCCTAGAAATGTTGCAGGAAAGAAATGATCCTAGGCAGGGCTGCTGTTGGCTCACTGAAAAGTCTGAGGAAAGTCAGAGACAGGTTCAGGGGGTTAGCCTGGAAGAGCTGCCCATTGCTCCCCTGGTTGCAAGTCTCCTGGGGACCCTCAGAGTTTAGGAGGGAGAGGGCCCCAAAACAATATAATTAATTCATGCTGAATACTGTTGATGCTGGAAAGAGAGTAGCCATTACTAGAGGGGTGTTGAAGACAGGCTATATCCACATTGAGACTTACCAGTGAAAGCAGAAGTAATGGGAAGTGTGTCTCCCTCCCTGAGTCAACATTATTTAATATTGTGTTCACATGCCTTCTGGTGATAGGGTCCAGCTCCCACTCTGTATAGATGGGGAAGCTGAAGCTAAAGCTTGAAGAGATAGACTAAACCTCAACATCACAAGAAAGGAGCAGGCCTATATCCCAGATGTTTTGAATCCCAACATTCTTCACTTTCTACTGCACCCAATTGACTTTTGCATACACACATTTAACAAAAGAGATACCTTTTTTAAAAAGACAGGCTGTGCTAACAATTCTACATGGTTTTCTTAACGTGGAAAGTTAATGATCAATTAAACCTCTACCTGAAAGGGCACAAAGGCCTCATATAAGGAGTCTACAAGGGATAATTAAATCATGTTGGTTAACCCAGGTTAATTGAATATAAACTTGTGCTTTCTTTGTGCCATTTTCAATCTCTGGATTGATTTTGCTTGACCTGGTGGTAGCAGGAGGATTATTTTTAGCTATCCATGTGGGCATCTTACAACAAATAAGTTGGTAAGGAGGCAGCAGTCCAAGAGGGTCAGTGCTTACACTTCCCCATTTCTGTTACCTGTTCCTATGCCAGACACCCACTTATCTGATCTCTTCCCCCTTTCATCTTGGTAGAGAGGAGGGCAGAGGCCTGCTGTGGGTATTTACAAGCCTTTGTATTGGCCTTGTAGCTGATGCCAGACCCTATGGGGGGGTCAGGGGAGGGAGGTGAGCAGGGAACCCTCAGACCTGAGCTTCAAATCTACTGAATGCCTCATTTGGGCTCTTGAAATGAACTTTCCATCAACTTATACACTTAGTCGCAGAGATAAGAGGACAAGAAATTTGACATATTAACAGCGAACTTTTTGGGATGCTTATTATTCTAAACACTTTACATGAATAAATCCTCACAGTAACCTATGCCTTAGGTTCTGTTACTATCTCCATTTAATAGTTATAAAAATTGAAGCACAGAGAGATTTAATTACCTTTTTAAAAAATAGATCTTTATTGATTTCAGAGAGAGAGAGAGAGAGAGAAACATCAATGACAAGAGAGTCATTGATCGGCTGCCTCTTGCATGCCCCCTATCGGGAATTGAGCCCACAACCCGGGCATGTGCCCTGATAGGGAATCAAACTGCAATCTTCTGGATCATAGGTCGATGCTCAAACACTGAGCCACACTGGCTGGACTCAGTTACGTTTTAATACAGATGGGAAATGAGAGTGAGGATTTGAACACCACATGCAGTCTGGCTTTGGCACCTGTGCCCTTCAGGGTGCTTGTACGTAAAAGTCACCTGAAGGTTTTTTAAAACACCAACTGCTGGAACCAGCCTCTAGAGTTCCTGATACAGCACATCAGTAGGTCTGGGGTGTGGCCTGGGGATTTGTATTTATAACTGTTTTCCAGGTGGGGCTGATGCTGCAGAACCGGGGACCATACTTTGAGGACCAGCAGCCTACACTGTCTTCCCCTTCCCCCCATCAATGCTGAGACTAGATCGAACGTGCTCCATCCCTTCCTTTTTTTCTGAGGCATCTCCAGTGACCATGTCCCCACTATCTCTTTCTTAGCTTGCAAATATATAGCCAGTCCTTCCTTTTCCCCATACTCATACTTGCTGTTTCCAGCAACAATCAACCTAATAATGTGTGTCAAATGAATGAAACTTCCTCTTCCCATATCCCCTTAATGTTTTTGAGGAAGCTATTTCCCTCAATAGTCTCCTCCTCTCCTTAGTTTTTCGCAGCCTTTCCCAGGTTGCCCACATGGTCTAAGCTCCTCCTGTGGATCTGTTAGCCTGAGGTGGGGGTATAGGTTCTGCTCAAAGCCTTCAAAAATTTGATTTTTACTGCCAAGGTAGACTCATTCTTTCAGGCAACAAAGAGTCTCTGTGGGCCTACTGTGTGCCAGGCCTCTGCAGGGTGCTGGAGATAAATACAGTGCTAGAGAGAAAGACATGGTCCCTTGTAGGCAGTGAGGTAAATAGGTGGGTGATGACAAAAAGTTTTTCAACTAAATAATGATGCTGGGGGCAGGTGGGGAATGGGGACATCTGTAATAGTGTCAACAATAAAAATAAAGTTAAATAAATAAGTAAGTTAATAAATATCCTAATGAAAGTTTCAGGGAGATTTGCTTTAGTGTGAAGCGATAGTCATGCCAAGCCCACGCTCCTCACCCACAGAAACCGTGAGAGAATCAATGCATGTTGTTTAAGTCACTAAGTTTGTGGTCATTTGTGATGCTAATACAATCTCTTTAGTGGGCAATTGGCCTATAATTATAAAAGTTAGAAGAGCATATGCCCTCTAATTTACCCTTTCCATTTCAGGGCTTTATCCCGTAGACCTGGGCCATCCAATACTGTGACTGTTTAATTTAAAGTAAATTAAAAAACAAAACTGCCCCTTGCCGGGAAGCTCAGTTCCTTAGAGTGTCATCCTGATATGCCAAGCTTGCCTGTTCTATCCTCGGCCAGGGCACATACAAGAAGCAACCAATGAGAACATAAATAAGTGGAAGAACAAATCGATGTTTCTCTCTCTTTCTCCCTTCCTCTCTCTCTCTCAAATCAACAAATAAATAAAAAAATTCAATTCTTCTGTCTCACTAGCCATATTTCTAGTGCTCAATACCACATGTAGCTAGTGGCTCCGTATCGGGACACAGGAGATATAGTACATGTCACAGAAAGTTCTGTGTACAGTGCTGCTACAGACCTACCCATACATGTGAGAAGGACATGGACACATAGATGTCCAGGACAGCATTGGTCACAGTAGCAATATGATTAAATACAATAAACATAATTACTGGTATGTCAGCTCCATGAAGACAGGAATATTTGTCCATTTTGTTTACTGTATCTTTAGCTTTTAATACAGTGCCTAATGCATAGTAGGTAACTCCATATATTTGTTGAATATACAGCTGATATAGAATGATCTTTTATATATATATTTTAATCCTTACCTGAGGTTATTTTTTTCCCATTGCTTTTCAGAGAGAGTGGTAGGGGGAGACAGAGAGAGAGAAACATCAAAGTGAGAGAGTCACATTGATTGGCTGCCTCCTGCTCTTGAGCTGACTGCCATCTGGGATTGAGCCTGCAACTGAGGTATGTGCCCTTGCCTGAAACTGAACCCAAGGCCTTCCAGTCCACAGGCCGATGCTCTAACCACTGGGCCAAACCTGCTAGGGCTGAAATATATTTTTAATCAAAATAATACCAAGATGCTGAGTAACGTAACTGATACATACCCATGTATGATGAATAGATGTCTCTGAGAGGTAAAGTGACTAATCGTCCCAGTTTGCCTGGGGTTGAGGGGTTTCCCAGGATGCCAGGCTTTCAGTGCTAAAGCTGGGCAAGTCCCAGGCACATAAGTGATCACCCTGCTGGAAGAGTCCTGGGAATCTGGTACCAGTGTCTCTCATCAGGAAGGGAAACTAGGGGCCTGGGGTCTAGGTTCTGGGCCTGGAGAAAGACTGACTCATCATTTTCTTCCCTCTTGTATTGTCTAAACTTTCCCCTCTTGTATTTTCTAAAATTTTCTGCATTACTTTTTTAAAAATATGTTTTTCTTTTTTAAGTGAAAGTGAAAGAATATTGTGTTCTGCTCTGTGGGAGAATAGTTGAGATGATTAGCCATAACTCCAGACCTCAAGTCATCTAACCCTCAAGCCCTATCTCTTAGCCTCAGGTCATG